TGCCTGCACAGCTGTTCAATGTTATAATTTCTCATGGTGGCTAGTTTCTTATTTCCATCTTTGAAATGCTTTTTAAAAATCCTGGAAAGAACATTTAGTTTTTAAATTGAGAAGATTAGTGATAATCTCATTAGCAATCTGGATGGTAATTTTCATTTAGTAGGTGGCTTCTCTATGAATCTTGGGAAATTCTGAGAATTCATTGTCGCTAAACTTTTTGCTAAAAATATCCTTCCTAAACGGAAAAGTCTGTGTCATGCATGCTAGTGTGAATGTGGGCTCTTGAAGGAACTGGCAGCCTTGATAGATACCCTGCAAGTGATAAGGTGGTGTGTATCAGTCAGTGTTTACCACAGTAATGCTGCATAACAAACCACCCCCAAAGTCTGGACCATACAAGAAAGTATTTATTTCTAGCTCATGTATATATGAGTAGCTTATCTGGGCTCAGCTAGATTTGGCTCCAGGCCATGAGTTCAATTTAGAGCTCTTTTGAGCATCTTATTTTTCTGAGACAAGTAGGCAACTCTGCAAAGCATGTTCTTCTCACATTAATGTTAGGGTGGGAGAGGATGAGCCTAATCATGCCAGTGCATTATATCATACCCATTGGCCGAGGCAGACTGGTGGCTAAACGCAAAGGTTAGCCAAATTCTTCCTGTAGTGGGAGGAACTGCAAAAAACCACAGGACAAGATGTATGGATACTGGGAAGGGCAAAGAACTGGAGTGAAAAATCCAATCGACCACATGCAGTTTCCCTTGGAATGTATCAAGTGATAACCAAATGAATTTTAAAATTTCTTATCACAGATTATAGCGTGTGCACACTGTCTTTTCCTTTATGCAATGATAAAAGCTACTAGCTACAGCGTAGTCGTAATTTTCAACTATGCCACCCTTTTACGTTTTTAAAGCACGAGAAACCTGTTTTAAACCAATTTTATGTTGACTACAGTTTATGAAATAAATAATGATGGAGCTGTACCCGTGGGAGGGCTGAGAGAGGGAGGAGTTGGTGATGGGGTAGTCAGGCAAAGTACAGGATGCCCAGCTGAATCTGAATTTCAGACAATGAAAAATCTGCTAGTACAGGTACGTCCCGTGACGTCCTTTGTTTTTCCTTCTCTACCCCTCCTCCTCCTCCTGCTAAATCTGGCAGCCGTAACCGAGAGCAACATGGAACATGTCCATTCCCCTCCTCCTTTACTACTTCCTGTAGTCACATGCACCTGATGCCCCTGGCCAGCTCAGACAGAGCCATGCTTCTCTCCCTCTCTGGGCTGTGGAGACCACAGGTTTCCAGACCCTAACTTGCCTTCTTCTGGCTCTCCCATGGAAAATATAGTTCAGAAATGCCTTTCTCCCACAGCACCTTCTGATCCTATCCTGTGATTCTTTCAGAAAAACTGTTGGAGGAACAAACTGTCACTGGCCTGAAGTTGGACTCTGGAAGAGCAGACTGTTGGAGACTCTGCCAGAGTTAGATTGCAGAGGGAGCTCTGCTAAAGAAGCCATAAGAGTTTGCAAAAGGAGTTCTTATGCTTAAAAAATGAATTACTGGAAGGAATGATTGAAAATTCCATGCTAGGATGGTTTCTGGGCAGTGTAGTGATTGCTTTCTCATGAAGCACCTGAAAGATTCACTTTTGTTCAAGGTAAAGGCTCTATGGGCAGGCTTCTGCTCCTCCGCCTCCACAGTTCCCCCTCCACTGGACTCTGCTCTGCAGCAGTGCTGCCATCATGGAACTCATATTCTGAGGTTCCTGATGACCTTGTTTGATCATCAAGTTCTTAGTGGACCAGACAAGCTCTTGAGGTAGCTCTTCTTGCCCTTCAGAAGCGTGACTTTTCTGACCCCCTGTCCACACTGTGTCTGGAAAACAATGAGCGCCTTGCATTTAGACAGGGAAAGTCAGCACTGTTAAAACTGACGTGACTGATTTTGTTCCTTCAACGCTGGGATCTCAATTCTGGGAAGTCCGGGGAAAACCTCAGGCCATACTGAAATGGAAGTTGCTTTAGATTTATGTCTTTGTAAATCATAAACAGATTGGCCCATAAAAGCCGATAGATTGTTGAATTAAAATATTACTCCTTCAACAGCATGAGAGGCTTCCTGAAGAGTTTAATGAGTGGGGAATATTTAATCTGCTCTCATGCCGACATCAGCAGTGAGCTCAAAAGTCCTGAGAAAATGCAGTTAAGTACTTGAGCTTTTGTTGATTGAATTCTCCATATTCAATGGAAGTCCAGAATGTAGAAGTCTCAGGAAGACACGGGTGAAGGCCTTGCTGTGGTTAGTTCTGGTGCTGGAGGAGAGAGAAGGAAGAAGGGAAGCTTTGAATGCCCCTGCTTGGCAGGAGCAGACTGAAGCCACAGGAACCAAGGTGTTCTATCCATCCAAATGCTAAATAATGCAGTGATTTTATTCATTTACTTCAAACAGCAACTGCAAAGGAAAAAAGCAAAAATCCTTTTCATGTCTCAGAAAAGACATAAAACTGTATATGCTTTGGAAATAAAAACCCACACGATAAATGGAAACATTTAAGCAGAGTAAGAAGACTTTAATGAGAAACTAGAAAAGAAAGCTCAATCTGCAGTGAAAATAGGTAATGTGATCATTGCCACTTTAAATGCATATTGGAAAAAAATCCCCTAATAACTGTTCTTCTTAGTGTCTTGCATTTTAAGATCAGATCTTATTTTATTTACATTAGGAGCACAGCAATGTGTGTTGTTATTAAGTGGCAAAGGTGGGGTCTTTGTTTTGCCGAAGATCACACAGCACCAGAGGCCATTGGCTGGCAATTTATATAACCTTATTAGATGGCCCTGATATTTTCTGTGATAAAAGAAGTTATGGACATGCCTGTAAAGGGCTTTGTGCAGATGAAACGTTCTGGAGAAGCAAAGCTCACTTACCATCGCCTCTTCATCAGCGTGGTTTCCTCTCTGGATGAACACGAAAGCACAAAGCTCTGCCCCCTGGAAGCCAAACAGTGCTCAGTAGCAGAATACAATTTCAATTCACGACTTAGCGGAAAGATGCTCAATAGAGTCGATTCTACAAGTAGTTTGGAACTGCTGTAACGACACTGAGGCCATGAACATTTTAGACTCTTGCAAACTACTTGACACATTAGATGATTCTAATTATTATAAGAACCGCAAGGCTAATGTAGGATAAATGGTGCTGTCTGCAAGGTGACAAATCTGACAAATGCACATAATGGTCATGTGGAAGGAATAAGAGAGAGAGAGAGAACGAGAGAGAGAGAGAGAGAGATCAGTGGACATTTTAATGTATTGCCCATAACAGCACTGCTCCTGGCAGATTAGCGGTGCTTTTGTGTAGCTTTAATATGCGGAATAGACATGCTTTCATATTTGATCACTCACTGGAGATGCTGATGATGAATAGGTGTTAAAGTGGGAGACAGCTAATCTAATCTGCTCACTTTCTGGACATATATTATTTAATATGAATTTGCCCATAGGCACTTTTATACCACCCCCATATTTTGCTAGAATTTGTTTTGCCCAAAGCCCCCTAGCTAAAAAATGAACAAGCTTGGACCTAAAGCTAAATCTGTCTGAATAGAAAACCCTTTCTCAATTCCACAACATGGTCAGCACGGTAAGAATAGCCTTAATCACCATTTGCACAATCATTTACCAGACAGCGTCTGTAAAACATGGTAAATTGCCTTTTATAGGTAAAGTTTTAAAAAATATTTTTCAGTGGTGCATGCCTGTAATCCCAGCTACTCAGGAGGCTGAGGCAGGAGAATTGCCTGAACCCAGGAGGCGGAGGTTGTGGTGAGCCGAGATCGCACCATTGCACTCCAGCCTGGGTAACAAGAGCGAAACTCCGTCTCAAAAAAAAATATATATATATTTTTCAGTGCAATGACACCATTGTGTTGTGATCACATGTGTATGCTTCCGGTGGCACTTTCCTCATTCTCTTTCGACCCTGAAGCCAAGAAATATTTCCTTCAAAGTTAACAGTTTTGCAGAATCCTACCAAATAATGGAATATTGAGATACCCACTGGGAAAAGCCCCATGCTAGGTGTCTAGAGACTCCGGTTTCGGGCCTGCCTTGCCATTACCTAACATGAAATTTTAACAAAGAATTCTTCTATAACTTCCTTGTTGTAAAATGAGGACAATAAGTGGAGTCCAATGAACAAGTCCCCCAGGTCAGCATCTCCAGTTGTAGATGAGCAACCAAGGCCAGGGCAGGAGCAGGGGCAGGGTCCATGCTGAGGGTCCCATGAGTTTGCGGGATGCAGGCTATTTTAGGGAGGCCTTTTAGATGCTCATGGGCCTTCCCTGCTGGCTAAGTCAGGCTGTTCTCTGAGCAAACTTTAGGTAAATGCTTATAACTAGAGCCATCATTAGAAGCAGCATTGGGTTCCATTCAGCTCCTGGTGTGGTAATTCCCCTGTGTAATATATCTGCCTGATGATAAATGTTCCTATTAGTAATTCTCTGAAGATCCAGTTTGATCAAAGTTGCCCTGAAGTTTTGTGACTATATTTGTACTAATTGTTGGGGAAGGAAAGAGAGGTTCGAAGTCTACCAGATATCACAGATATCACCAGGGTTATAACTGAGTGTGTGTGTGGGGGGGTATGTATATGTGGACTTTCTGGAATACATTTTCAAGTAAAAAGAGTCTTGTGTGTGTTTGTGAGTATAAGTGTGTGAGTGTGTATGCATCACACACACACACACACACACACACAGAGAGAGAGAGAGAGAGAGAGAGAGAGAGAGAGAGAGAGAGAGAGAGAATGAATGAGCAAGCCTTGGTAGAGCCCTCTCTCTGCCCTGGATTCAAACAAAAGATTTCCCAAAATCACTAGAAACGATCTGGAGTAAAGCAGAGGCCAGACTGTGCTCTGAGGGTGGTTCCCTACTTACAGACCTGTCTCTAAATATACAAGAGAGACGGGATGTGTGGTTTCACATCTGACTACGCGAGGCTGTCCAAAGCAGGACTGTCTGATAGAATGTTCCAGGAGAACAGAACATCCCCTATGGCAACCACCAGCCAGATGTGGCTACTGAGCTCTTGAGATGTGGCTAGTATGACTGAAGAATTGAATTTTGAAAAGATTTAATTTATGATAACTGAAACTTAAATCTAAAAGGCCACAAGGATCTGGCGATTACCATATAAAACAGCACAGAGGGAAAGGGACACGTGTAGATACTGACATCGCTGCTGGGTGAAGCCTCCAGGTGCGTATCCAGCCAGGCAGCCTCGGCACCTGCAGTTTCCATCTGCCTTCTGCTACCTCAGGTGGACTGCAAGGGGACATCTAGTCTGAGACCCATTCAATTCCAGAAGCCCAGAAGTGGAGTAGAGGCTGAAGACTGGAGAAGAAAAATTTGACAAATCTTCATTGCATCTTCATATTTTTTTTTTTAGATGGAGTCTCACTCTGTTGCCCGGGCTGAAGTTCAGTGGTACAATCTCAGCTCACTGACACCTCTGCCTACCAAGTTCAAGTGATGATGGTACTGTTTCTGACCTTTAATCTATTTCATTGGTCAATTTGTTTATTTCTGCAATTTTGTTATATTTTATATTATAGCTTTAAAATATATATATAATATATATAACAATACAATGTATATAATATATAATAACATATATATATATATAATTCAAGGCAAGTCTTGCTCTGTCACCCTGGCTAGAGTGCGGTGGCACAATCTTGGCTCACTGCAACCTCTGCCTCCCAGATTCAAAAGATTCTCCTGCCTCAGCCTTCTGAGTATCTGGGATTACAGGTGCATGCCACCACGGCCAGCTAATTTTTGTATTTTTAGTAGAGACGGGGTTTCACAATGTTAGTCAGGCTGCTCTTGAACTCCTGACCTCAGGTGATCCTCCTGCCTTGGCCTCCTAAAATGCTGGAATTACAGGCGTGAGCCACCTTGCCCAGCTTGAGACTGGGTAATTTATGAAGAAAAAGAGTTTTAATGGACTTACAGTTCCACATGGCCGAGGAGACCTCACAGTCATGGCAGAAGGCGAAAGGCACATCTTACATGATGGCAGATGAGAGAATGAGAGCCAAGCACAAAGGAAAACCCCTTATGAAACCATCAGGTCTCCTGAGACTTATTCACTACCATGAGAACAATACTGGGGAAACCACAGCCTTGATTCAATTATCTCCCACTAGGTCCCTCCCTCAACACGTGGGAATTATGGAAGCCACAATTCGAGATCAGATTTGGCTGGGGACACAGCCAAACCATATCACCACCTGTCTGCTTCCCAGCAAGGATCCACTTTCTGGCCTCCTGGTGTCCCACATGCTGGCCCCTCAGTCTGGGACACTTCTTACTGCTCCTCCCATCCTCTTTAATGCTCCAATACCTGTCCTCCCTTAGCAGTGTAGAATCCACACCTGCTGTTACTTTCCTGGGGCCCTGGGAGGTCATGGAGCACAGTGGTGCTCCATGGAGCGTACAGGTTCTACAGTGAGACAACTGTAAGCCCATTCCTGTCACCTACCTTCCACCAGGTCAGGTGGTTTTTCCTTTGTGCTCTGGTGGTACGGTGGCTGTGACCTTTCAACAACTCCAAATTACATTCTAGCAACCTGTTTTCTTTTCTGTCTCCTCCACTAGCCCAGGGTTTATTAGACTGCAAATAATAAAATCAACTCAGAGGGTTCTTCTTAGCAATAAAAAAATGAGTAAAATAGAATAGAAGAGATCGGAATTCCTTTTATGGCTCCTTGATTGCTTTGTGAAATCATAATTGTTTTATTTTTATACATGTACATAAATACATAAAATATATTGTATGTGTGCATGGAGTCATAATGTAAAATTATTTCTTATTGTGAATTGGGATGGCTTTAAAAATCTTTGCATTAGGCTAAAATTTCTGGAACACCAGGGCAGAGGCATATTCATGGCTTGTATCTTGAGTACAACAGTGGCTGGAGCACTAATGCAATGTGTGAGCCACTGACCTGAATAAATTCATGTTGAGGTGGGCAGGGGGAGGGAGGGAGGATGAAGGCCAGGGACAGGCAGGCAGGCTGCCAGCAGTGCTCAGGACCTGGAGCTTTGCCAGCAAGCCCAGCCCAGGCAAGCACTATTTCCAGATGCTTCGGGACTAAGTGTGAAGATCATGTTGGTGTTGATTGCGGGAGGGCAGTGGACACAGAAGGGCTGAGCAGTGTTCAGTGTGAGTGCTGAGGGTGAAGTCACAGAATCAAGCTAGATTGGGGGCTCAGCGATACAGGTTTGCCTCAGTGAAGATAAAGCCATGATTTGAGTGTCAGGACTCAGGTTCTGCCTTGTCGCTTCTGAGCATACCTTTCCTAGAGGTACCTGGTGGGTTCTCTCCATATGACCTTCTCTCTCATCTCTTTCCTCTCCTTGGTACTCTCATTTATAGACTTCTTTTCAGTGCCTCCCTCTTGTCAAGCCAATCTGAGTTAGGCCCCATGATGGGAAAAAGTCCTGGGTATTTCCTGAATTCCATTTTTTGTCAGTTACAGGACCCATTTCCCAAAGCCCAGGTCAGGTTTCTCCAAGTCGGTGTAAGCCTTGCTTCCTGTCTTCGTGTGCTACCCCGTGCCAGTCCCTCCCTCCCCATCTTTTGTTGGCCAAGGGAGGTCTTTCACTAGAATCTCAAAATATGGCAGGCAAGCAGGGAGAGAGTTCTGCTCCAGAAGCCTGCAGATGGACATCCTTTCCAGGGTAGCTGAGCAGAGTCACACATTCCCACCTCTACCCAGGGAATCCTCTGAGCAACAGAATGTTGTTAACTTTGCATCATTCCTTTGCCCCTCATACCATTAGAAAATTTATACACAGATGGCTGTGGCTGGCGATTCCAAGAGAGAGGCTTTTTACAGCAAGCGTGTTTATACTTGTGATTTTTTTTTTTTTTTTTGATGTAGCACTTATTTAGGAGAGAATCCCAGGTGTTGTCTTTTAGGTGAATAAACTGCCTGACACTGCTCAAGAATGCTAACAGGCGGGCTCTTCCTGGGCCAGTGGCTGAGCCAACGCTGGTGCTAAGGCTGGGAACAAGCAGCCACTTCTCTGGTAGTGGATGCTGAAAAATGAAAAGGAACTAATGACCACGCTGAAGTCCCTGAGATCTTTTCAAGGTGTCACTAGTTTTTTTAAAGCTCCCAGTCTGCATAGGAGCTTTGATACACGTGTTCCAAATGACGGCAGTCCTCACATCATCAGCATTGGGACTTGGAGGAAGTTCGTTGCTCTTTTGGATGCGGGTTTGTTGTCTATCTTCTGCATCCACGAAGAAAAAGGCAGAACTGATGTTTCCTGGGCACCTGCTATGTTCCAGGAATTGTAGCTGGTTGGTAAGTCACGTAACTCGATTCCCTTGCTTTTCTCTTCTTTCTCCATGCAGTCAACTCAAGTTTTTTTCCTGTTCTCCAGGCTATAACAGACAATGATACCTATGAGTATGCAGAAACATAATGTAAAGCACAGGAGGTAAGTCCTAGATTAGTGGAAGATAAATATTTGCCTAAAGAACATTTTCTCTTCTAATTGCTGATCACAGTGGATCTCAAACTTTTTAAAAGTATAGCCCACTTTGCTGAGAATAATGGTTTCCCACTTTATCCATGTCCCTGCAAAGGACATGAACTCATTCTTTTTTATGGCTGCATAGTATTCCATGGTGTATATGTGCCACATTTTCTTTGTCCAGTCTATCATTGATGGGCATTTGGGTTGGTTCCAGGTCTTTGCCTTTGTAAACAGTGCTGCAATAAGCATACGTGTGCCTGACAATGAGAACACATGGACACAGGGAGAGGAACATCACACACTGGGGCCTGTCGGTGGATGGGGGGCTAGGAAAGGGATAGCAGGGGGTGGGGAGCTAGGGGGAGGAATAGCATTAGGAGAAATACCTAATGTAGATGATGGGTGATGGATGCAGCAAACCACCATGGCACGTGTATACCTATGTAACAAACCTGCGTGTTCTGCACATGTACCCCAGAACTCAAAGAATAACAATAGCAATTAAAAAAAAGGTATAACACACTTTTTGTCAAACAAATAAATAATGAAATTAACATTTTAACAAAGCAGAGATGTTCTTCTGGTCGAAGAGGTTTGTGAGGGCAGCCTGGATCCCCAACCTCTGTGACCTCAGAAACACTCTCATGGGTCCTGAGAGCTTTTGGGATATTCAATGGAGCAAAAGAACAATTAGTAGCAGCCACCTCTACCAAGGGAATTCTCTGCATAACAGAATGCTGTTAACTTTTCATATACATCATCATTCTGACACTCATACCATCATAAGGTTTATTATTTTATTAGTTTCAGTATTAGTATCAGCATTATCATTCCCCTTCTGAAGAAGAGGATACTAAGGCTTAAAAAGTTTAAATATCTGCCTTAGGTAGTAGAGACTGAATTTAATGCTAGATAGTTTGACTCTGAAGCCAACATTCTTAACCATCATTTATCCATGCATTCAACAGATATTTACTGGGTACTGTCTATAGGTTGAACATGCTCTGTGTAGAGAAAACAAGAATTTCTGCCTTTGTGGAGCTGACAGTTTAGTTTGGGAAAGTGAGTGGGTAGGGTACAGAAAATAAACCAAGCAAGTAAGACATAGTATGTTAAGCCAGGAGCAGTGGCTCATGCCTGTAATCCCATCACTTTGGGAGGCCAAGGTGGGCGGATCACCTGAGGTAGGGAGTTCGAGACCAGCCTCGCTAACATGGTGAAACCCCAGCTCTCCTAAAAATGCAAAATTAACTGGGTGTGGTGGTGCGTACCTGTAATTCCAGCTACTCAGGAGCTGAGGCAGGAGGGTTGCTTGAATCCATGAGGCGGAGCTTGCAGTGAGCTGAGATTGCACCACTGCATTCCAGCCTGGGAGACAGAGTGAGACTCCACCTCCAAAAAAGAGAAAGAAATAATATGTTAAATAAGTTCTCTGAAAAATAATAAAATTGAAAAGGATACTAGAGTATATTGGGTACGTTTAAATACATAAAGTCATCAGAGGCCTCATTAAGAAGGTGAGGAGTATGACATTTTAGCTAACTTTGAAAAGTAAAACAAGCTTGGGTCAAATAAAGGAAGATACTTAAATCAAAACTTCTTCAATAATACTAAACAAATGAGATAAACAGTAAAGGGAACACAATCTTGAAAACAAGGCTTTCAGTGGGTCAAACCGACAGGCCATAGTCACATTAATCATTAGTATAACTTAAGATACGTTAAAAAATGGATTCCCCGTATTTGGCATCTTTGTCTAGAGAAGAGAAATTTTTTGTTATGGGAGAAAGATTGCTCATGGACACGTGCTCAGGGTGTTTTGCAGAAGCTGTGCATGTCAGGCGTTCCATTCGTCAGCAGCAATCACTCAAGGTATGCTTGTTTTAACGGCGACGGCTGGTTTTGATGAGGAAGAATTTCCTTGCTGATTTCAGCTGAACATTGGTGCATTCTGTTCCTTCACAGTTTGCTTGGCAGCTGTTTTATTGCTAATCCAGGCGCGATCTGATAAATTTAGCACTGATTAAAAACTGAATCCTTGAGCTATAAGATGCGTTAAGGTACAATTGCTTAGCACAATGGTTTTCTTTTCCTCTTAGGGAAACAGCTTACTAGGGAAGCCTGGTGTAAAACATATAATTCGATCTCAAACTTCTTAATTATCCATTAACTGAGGCAATTACGTCCTCTAAAAAGTCTAGGCTTTATGTAAGACCTAGTTGTTTGTAAGTCACCTGAAATAAAACCACAGTCACAGACCACAAAGTCTTCAGCAAAAGAAAAGGAAGACTGAATTTGCACCTGACTGTTAGGCTGGCTGTGAGGTTACAGTTTTGTAAGCGACAAGGGTAGCAGCACTCAATGAAAAAGCCTCATGGATTTGACAATTGAATTATTACACAGAGCAGGCTTTGCATGTGGGCAAAACAGAGCCTCCCACACACTCCAGTTCAACAAGCTTTTGTTGAACAAGGACCGTGTGCCAGGCTTTGGACAAGGTGCTGAATTTACAGTGGTGCACAGTGATGGTAGGGTATTATAGGGTGGCTAAGTGGACTGAGAAAAATGCCAGCTATCCACATGTGACTTGGGGCATGTCCTCATTTTATGAGTGAGAGATCACAAGGAGATGAAGCTCAGCTTCAGCTTCCTGGAATGCATAAGCACCAGGTCTCAACACAATTTTGACTCTATTAATGCTTTTAGTCTTACTCTAGTTTTCTGTATTGATGGGCATGCTCTTTGACATTCTAGTCCCGTAAATGCCAGTAGAGGCTTCCATAGAAACTTAATGAATCCCAGTTTGTGGATGAGGCACTTGGTTTCATTAGAAACATATATCCTCAGATCTATGATTTCCTGTTTTAGCTCCCTACAAATCACCTGAGAACTTGCTTAAATGCAGACTTCTAGAAGACATCCACACATTTTGGATTCAATAAGTTTGGGGTGAGGCACAGGAGGCTATCATTTTAATAAGGGCCCCAGAAAATCCTGAGTCAGATGGAGACGGGCCGCTGTTTGAGAAACACCGAGATGCATGGCGGTAATAACTGTCATGTTGTAATCGTAGTGGTAATTAGTGTAATGTGGAGCTGGTGTAGGTGGTGGCGGCAGCAGTGATGATGCCAGTGCTTACAGATAGTAGACGTGGAAGTGGTCACAGTAGTGGGGATGCCAGTGGTAGTGCTGGGGATGGTGACAGTGGCTGCATTTGTACTGATGGTTGCTGGTGGTAGCAGGAATGAGGGTATTGGTTGCAGACAGTAAAAGCAGTAATCGTGGTGTTGGTGATGCTGGTGACAGTGGTTGTGATAGCAGAGATGGTAGTGATCATTCTCAGGTACAATGGCATGGCTGCTATTGCTTACTTTCCCTGGAGAACCGTTAGACCCGATAAGAAAGAGTTCACAACATCTACGTAACTCAGCTTTTGTTTCTCTAGGTAGAGGGACCTCTAATGGCTTCATCTGCTCCTGAAATACATCTCTCCAGACCTGATATTACACATTGACTGCCAGGGTTGTTCTTCCAAGTGACTACAGACATTGCTCCTTATCTCCAGCTAAATAGCTCATGTTTACTGAGCACTTATTATGTGCTAAGCATTCTGCTTGGATTTTTCTCATTAAATACGTCACACAGCCTTATGAAATTGATGCTTTTATTATACCTGATTGAAAGGTGGGAACACTGAGGGTTAGGAGATTTAAATGACAGCTAATAAGTGGTTGAGTCAGATTTAAGCAAAGTGAACTTTTGGTGAATTTTGGAGTTTGTCCGGGCTATTCAATCCATTTCTAGGTGCCAGCACATGGCAGAAACTTATTAAATGCTTGAATGAATAAATAAAGCAAGACGACAGTTTAAGAATAAACCAGGTAATTCAGAGTACTGAACCCATATTAAATTTATTGTAGTCTACTCCAAAGTGACGTAACACTAAAATCTGAGCATTTGCCAGGTGATGGCAAATATTCATTTCCATCATCTAGCCCCGTACCTGACACATAGTTAATCCCTTCAGTAAATGCTTATCACAGCAATCAATCAATGAAATGTTTTTCTCATACAGTTTGGTGAATAACTCATGACAGTATATTCACAGATGAGTCAAAGAATGTTTGCCTCGTATATATTGTTTTAAATAGCTGGAACCTGATAATGCAGTTTTTAAGGTACAGTGAAAGAGCTTGTCCTAAAGGGCATATCAGGATATGTGTGAGAAAGGATGAGTTTTTCCTGTGAAGGCAATCTTGCATTAGCTCCAGCAGAATGAGCCATTGCCTACCTGGGCTGGGAAAGTGGCATCTCAGTATCTCTCTCACCTTCTCCCTGACACTTTACAGGCTTTTGTGAAGAGGTCAGTTGTCATTCTCAATAAAATTGAAGGTTTCAAATGCAGCTGGCCCCTGGGGAGGAATGGATTTGGCTTGTTTGCTCTGAAAGGAAGGTGGCTGGGAGATCTGTCTCTCCTAAGAGCACACTGTGATTGGTGAGGGTAAATGGGGGATGGGTGGGGAGGTGTCTCAAAGAACACTGTAGGGACAAAGGGAATGCTGTGGTTTCACCAACCTTAAGTGCTTGCCTAGGTTCTTCCTGGCTTCTGACATCTTTTCCCCTCTCATAATTTTGACTACTCCCCCATCTCTCTATTAAATGCCATTTTTGCTCCAAGAGAAGCATAAATCCGTTCAGGATTGAACCATGTCCTGTCTTGTCCTTGGGAAGGAAGGACCAGTATGGATTCCACTACCCTATACCTGAATGAATGGACCAGCGCATAGACTGAGGACTTTTCCCCTGGCTGTGTGATGCTCTCAAATGTATGCCCTCTAGTCTTGCAGCGTTAACACTGCCCAGGTTCTGTTTTCTCTGTGCATCTCTTTGTAGTTTCCCCCTTGAGTCCAGAAACTGCCTTTTAGCTAGAAATTTTAAAAGCAAGAAATAAAGCTTTTCTGCAGGAACAGGGGTCTCAGAGGAAAGCAATTACAGTCTTTGGTTATGAAACAACACTCTTAAGAGAATTATGTTTAAATAGTCTAGCCCCGTGTCCCTTTGCCTTTCCTATAAGGAGGTTTTATGAACAATAGCTGTAGAATGAAACAGACCCTAGCTGCCTGAGAGGACTAGCTCTAGCTAAACTCCATGGTCTAGATGAATGAATGGTGCTGTTTTCAGCTTTGCTTTGGTCTGATAGGGCATCTTAAAGAAATGTTCCGCTAACTCCGAAGTGTTAGGTCTGTGAGCCTTTTAAGAAAATGTAAGCTGGACTTAATATATAGTCATCATTTTTTCTTCAGGGATTATATTCTTGAGAGTCCTCACAGTGCTAGCAGTTTGCCAGTCACAGTAAATTTCCCAAGGACCTGTTAGGGATGTGCAGTTACAGCACTAAGCAGGGAACTTTGTACATTGTTGCTAATTCTCAGTGTGGGTTAAAAGAGAAGCCTTGATTGGAAAGGGTGTTGCCATTGTTAGTGGATAGCTTAAGATGGCTACTTTTTTGTGTGTGTAGGAAAAGTAACACTTTCTATCACCAACATGTGTCAATTTCACAAACATTCATTATGGGTCTGCTCTATTTCAGCTCTCTATAGGGTGATAGGGTAAAAGTGTGAACAAAGCAAAGTCCCTTCCTTTAGGGCTATCATTTGTTAGTAGGAAAAACATAAATATAATCTAATACTTACAATAGTTTAAGTGCAATAGCAGAGCTGTGATCGGGACGTTAGCTGGTCCTCTGTGACCAGTGGCGATCCAGGGATGATTGACTTAACCTCTCTTCTCACTTCTCCAGTTTCATCCACAAGGATCCCCAAAGTCTTCCTTTACTATACTTCCGCTTCAGAGTCTCAAATGTCTCGAATTCTCCTCTTGGTTTCACATCAAGGAGTCCCACCACAGTCTCTGTGGCTTGGGAGCCAGTGGACACCTACGCCTTCAGGAATTCTGCTCCTATTAAGAGAATTTTTGCACTTGAATTCAGAAGTATATACCAGGAAAGGAGAGTGTGATTCACTCCTCTTGCAGATCATGAAAGACTTCACACAGAATAATGATTGATCTGGATCTCGAAGACTCAGTAAGAGCTTTGTAAATGTCAAATGCTGTGTCTGAGAAGCACACGATACCATCCTCCGCAAAAGCAGTGATGCTTTGCCACCCTTCCTCATGTGGGTTGTTAAGACCAACAGTCCTTAATACTCTGGTTCTCAGCCACAAAGGAACTTGCGTGTCTCTCAGCACCCTGCTGCTCTGTAACTTGACAGCAAGGATTCCTTGAGTGTACTGTAAGAAAGGAGATGTCATGGAAGGGTGTGCGTGTGTGGGTGCGCGCATGCGTGCACGTGTGTGTGTGCGTGTGTGTGCGCGTACGTGTGTGTGCGTACATGTGTGTGTATGCGTGCATGCGTGTATTTAAAGTAAGATGAGAGATTCTATATTATATTGAGATTCTGTATTTTAAGGGACAGATCAGGTGAAAGTAAATTAGTGTGATTGCTCTACTATCCAGTAGAATGGAGGCAAACAAAATTGATAATGTTTTCTTTATCACAAAACAAACAAGGAGAGGAAGAGTTTCAGTAAAAGTCTTGCAGTGCTCTGAAGAGTCACGCTAATACAGCCCTAAAATCCCAGCTGGGCATACATAAGACGAGAATCTGGAGTGGTCAAATTGCCAATGGTAGATCGAATGGACCTGGCTCATATATTAACAACGTGATTTCCGGCAATCACTTCCTGATCTACACTTATTTCAGACAGTTCATGAATAAAAAGGAGAGTTTGGCCATGTTTCTCTTTTTCTCTTTTCTCAGTGGTTTTACAGGTGAAGATAATGAGGACTGAAACAGAGAGACCATATGCAGGGCACTGTATTGGGTATCTGTCTGCTTTGAAGGTTTCTAACCATGCGCTACGCTCCACTTTCTACTCTGAGCAGTTCTTTCAGAGGCACGCAGTGGGAACTCTATTCTGATGAGCCTGTCCATGCCCAGAGTAGATAGTAGGACCATTAACTTCATTGATCCCCCTTATGATGATTAAAGGAGGTTATGGAGGAGGAAAGGGCCAGGAGAGAGACATAAAGATCTATTTCTGAGTGGTGTACTGTCTGTTCCTTTCCTCTAGAGAGTGGTAAATAGAGGTATGATCGCTACTCAAGTTAACAGCATATACAAAGTTCCCAACTGAGAGATGAAGAGCTCTGATGTAGGAGTCAGACTGGGTTTGAATCCCAGCTCTTCTGCAGCTTACTAGGCATGGGGCCCAGGCAAGATGCCCACCTCATGCCTTAGTTTCTCATCTGAGAAATTATAAACCTACCTCAAAGTAATACTCTAAAGGATAAGAAAGTTAATATACCACAAGCACATAAAGTAGTAAACACGCAGCAACCAGCAGCCATAGTGTGACACTTCAAGCAACGTGAAGCAGTCAATGAATACTTTTTCAAAAAAGATCATATTCAATTCTTTTCTCTTGGAAAACAAGATATTTAGCTCACCTATTTTGGATTTGAATGGTTCTAATGGAAAAAGTCAGGTTATAAAATTTCATTCAAAAACGAAATGGAAAAATATTGGCCAGGTGCAGTGGCTCACACCTGTACTCCCAGCAGCACTTTGGGAGGCCAAGGTGGGCAGATCACCTGAGACCAGGAGTTTGAGACCAGCCTGGCCAGCATGGTGAAACCGCATCTGTACTAAAAATGCAAAAATTAGCCAGGCGTGGTGGTGCGTGCTTGTAATCCCAGCTACTCGAGAGGCTGAAGCAAAAGAGTTGCTTGAGCCTGGGGGGATGGAGGTTGCAGTGAGCCGAGATCATGCCACTGCCCTTGAACCTGGGCAGCAGAGCAAGACTCCATCTCAAAAATAAATAAATAATAAAATAATATTGAGACACTTTGCAAAATTCAGTACGGAGAGAAGCTAAAGTGGAAGACAAATGTGACAACTGATGAGAGTTTGAGCAAAGAAAGGGAAGAGATTTTCAGAAGTCAGCAAGGAGGTAGAAAGGAGAAGGAAGAGGAGAAAGGAGAGGCTCATTAGGAGTTGAAGGGTATGTTAGCTAGAGGGCTTGCTTCTGAATGTCAGCACTCATTCCTTCTATCTTTCCAAGTATTCATTAACTCATTAACCACTACTCTCAATACTTAGTTACCTTTGAAATAAGGATAGGGCATGAAAGTAGACAACCAGCTGGTGGAAATGCAGAACAAGATATGAGGATGAAACTGGAAAAAGAGACTAGGAAAGCATAAACACAGAGGGGGAAGAAAACGTACAAATTCTTCTAAAAGAGAGAGGGAAAAGGGGCCAGAAACTAACCTTTGGAGAAAGTGTGTAGTTGGGCACAGGGAAGAGAAGAGGAGATGGGCTTAGCAGGGCAATGCCCAGAAAGACAAAGCAGAATAGAACTTTAGAACTTTATGAAAGAAGGGGTGACTGACAGTATCAAGTATCATAAAGGTCAAATGGGATAAGGGCTACAAACATTCAGATCTGCCTTGAATAAGATTGACCTTTGGTGTGGCAATAGTGAGATGATCTTTCTGGAGAGCAGTTTGGCAACATGTTTTCAGTGTCTTTAAAATGTTTATCTGCTTTGACTCAGTATTTCTACTTCTAGGAACTTATCTTTAGAAAATAGTCAAAGATTTAATTTAGAAAAGTAGAACATGATAGTTTAAAAACTATTTATGTATTTCTTAGGAGCAAAATATAACAA